GAGGATTTTGGAATCAGTCGCTCTGAACGAATTCTTGGTCAGAAAGGCGCTTTTTTGCGGGTGTCAATTAGATATCGGTTAAGTTAGGACTAAATTTTTAGATATTTTAATCGACTCTGCTAGACATAATGCTGTCTGACCAGGAGGAATGTACTCATATTCCAGAGATTTTGTCGGTGGTCGAAACAGGGAGATTTGAAGAATTTTCGTAGATGCTTTCATCTAAAGGAGGGACTTGAAAATTTTATAGAAGAAATGACCTGTCGTTCTCTGATTTCCCTGGTGCAAATCAAGTCCTGTTTCGGATGCCAACACTCTTGTTGTTCATGTGTGTAACACCTTTTGCAATTAGATATTACTTTCACAAAGTTTTTAAAGAGGCCGGAAGTTTGTCATAATGTGCAGGCCTAAGAGGGGACGTATGTTCGTCAAAATTTTCGTCGCAGAGGCACCATCTTTTACCTTGTTACCTAGCAGTCCAGCCATATGATACTCTGGGTACCAGATCCTCAATAAACCGGGGATAAAGTATTGTAGACCGCTTCGGTGGCAAAGAAGGAAGCTCAAATAATTATTTCTGGAACTAATTTCGAACTACAGTATTCTCTCCAATTAACGGACACTCTAAAAGGCGGACACATCTGATTAGCGGTAAAAATATTTTTCCCGATCATTTTCAGTCTCATAAAAAACTTTCTAAAAAGCGGACACTTAATTAGCGGACACTCCAATCAACGGATAATATTGTTTGCACAAAATAGTGAATTTGGCTTTTTTTCTTTCCAATTAGCAGACAGTACAAAACATTTAAGAGCCAGCGAACAAAAAAATAAGACAAATGACTATTTTTTCAAGTATTCCGACAGAGGGCTTGGAGCTTCCGACAGGGGGGCTAAAATGACTAAAATATGCAGTTTTCGTACGTTATTTTGTCAAATTTGCTCCGACAATAACCTAAAATTGCCTCCGATGGGGGGGGGGGCTAAGTGCCTCCCCTGGCGCCACCACTGATTACACCTTTAAAATACAAAACAAGGGTCTATTTCAACTTTGAAACTTATATTGCAAAACTTTCCAAAAGGTGGACATTTCCAATTAGCGGACACCTTGCTCTGGTCCCGACAGTGTCCGCTAAATAGAGAGAATACTGTATATTTCTGAGACTAAATAATGGAGACTCTGTCGCCCAGGGTAGCCATATGAATGTCTACTGAAAAAAATCTCTTCATATCCCCCTTCAACCCTTCTTAAGATTTATTGAATTACTTATCTTCAGTTTCATTTTAAGCACTGCCGACTGAATCAAATAAAGTTTTATCTTACTGTTCTTATATACAAATTCACTTTTTCTAAAACGAAAAGGTTTAGTCAAACTTACGTTGCATTTAGTTCTTGCAGTTAACAGCGTCAAAAGATGTGTAAATGAAGGAACCCTCGTTGTAAAATAGTGCTGTACCAGAGCATGCTACGTTTCTCGTTGATAAGTATGGAAAAACCACTGCCCCAGTTTTCAACTCTTTATTATTCAAATCTATTTGACACTTAAGGTGGTGGAAAGGGACACTGTGACTCCTGACAAACTCTAAAAGAACATATTGTACTTAACACAGAACGGCAATTGTTGTACTCAACGACGTCGGAGAATTTTCATTCCACCTTCTGTCGACCCGAATCATGTTTGCTAGTTTGGTACATATTTCAACAGTTTTATTGCCACTGTTATCTTGCCTTAAAGCAGAAAAATAATAGGTGTTACTACCAACATTATAAATTTTATTCCCGTCCTTTCAATAACTTTGTAACACACTCAGAGAGATCAGCTACTTGGTTTGAAACTGGTGTGTTTACTGTCTTATGTGTTAGCTAATTAAAAACCTGGTACCCTATTCAGGCGCTGTTCACTCAATCCGAACGATACTTACAGACACGGTAAAGGGGACGAAGATGCAACCCCTTTGATAGGAAGGTGAAAGTACCCTTGTCATTTGTCTTCGCAATTATCAAGAACATATATATGAGTTTCCAACTTTAGTAATTTTTTCAAAAACTTCTTCTTTTGACGACAACATTTCTCGTCATGCGTGATTATTTCGTATCTGCTAGAAGTGAACCGTTCATACGCTTATCGGAATGGAAATATCATTTACATACCAGTAGAAGCTGCAAATCACTGTTGCAAATTTTCTCCTTATCATGAAGCTAATAGCCATGCCCCTGGACCGTGCCGGTGTCTTCAACGACTCTAGACCTCAAAGATATTCATAAAGAAATACCTAAATAGATTTTCAATGTAAAGTGAGAAACATATTACTTTATCCTCGGTGAGTATTTATAACAAACAAATTTATAACAGTTTAGGTATTGTGATGTACATGGTAAAAATTTGCCTTATCGATTTCATCCAGAAATCCTGTCGTTTTTTGACTCTCTCTTTCTCTTCTGTCGAAAACACAAAGAAAGTTCTTATGTTGATGCACAAGGTAAGGTAAGAGCTGAGACATACTTGTAAAGCTTTTCACTGCATCGACCAGTTTCTTAATTCTCGAATACTGAGAAAAGGGACCTTATTTCGATAAGTATTTTGACAAGAAGCTCAAGGGTAAAGGAAAGCGAAAGGATGAAAATTAATCAAAATTATAGGTCCGTGATTAACAGGGGAAAGGGGTTATAACCATCAGTCTACATTACCATTCTTTGTTTCCCTTACCTTCAAACATCACTTTGCCTTGCCTCATCATTCTAAAGTACCAGGCACCGCGGAGCGTTGAGAAAAGTGGGCTGGTCTAAAGAAAGTGGGGGGGGGCTAAAACCGTATAAAAAGAGGCTTTTCTGGTAGTTTGATACTTAATATTTGGCATTTTTATTATTTGGCATCTTAATATTTTGCTAAAGCCCCCCCCCCAGCCCTTCCTGCTCCGCGGTGCTCGAGTACCTCAGTGAAGTGAGAAGTCATGCGATTAGGGTCGATGAGAACTGTCTTGCTTTTAGTACAATGTGTTTTGCATTTTACGGGCTACGTTATGAATTGAAGATATACGAAAACAGAACCAAGGTGCACATACTGTGTGTTTATCAAGTTTCAGTAAGCTTTTGCGTTTTCAGTATTGCGTTAGCAAGTTAAATCGTCTGCCACGTGGCGAAGTAGGCCCACCACACCTTGAATTCCTGATGCCATTTAAACCTGCAAGTCAAGCTCCTGTCATCATGGGGATACAATCAGGAAGGTTATTGATGATGCTGTTGCAAACCCTCTCTGGAAAGACAACATAAATGACAAGCAGGAGGATTGATGTTGCAATGGAGCCTCTGTAGCAAGAATTATCGGCGCCGAGATGAAGTTGTTGGGCATTCCCTGATTATGAAACTTGCATCGTGGAAGTACTTCTCTGCTGTATTTAAGGGTAAGAAAAAGTTGGTAATTCAGAAAATTATTTTGAATATGACTCCAAGAAAATCAAAGTTTTTCAACGGTCCGAGTGAAAGTGGAAGACAACCTCAACGTCGATTATCCGTTTAAATAAGATGAATGAGCATAAAAATATATGTAGGGGAGTCAAACTCTTTAACTGCGAAGAATGAAATGGGAACTCATTGTGTTTGGCTGCGCTAATGACTATTTTCTCCAGGTATTTTGCCGTTCTCGTGCCAGTTTTTGTGTTGTTTTGAGCTTGTCTCGAACTTGGTGAACAGGGTACTCTCTCTCTCTCTCGACTGGACTCTCTAGAGAAGTCGAAGGTTCACGCCCGAATTTGCAAAAGTTCACGCTCGAAATTGCAAAAGTTCACGCCCGAATTCGCAAAAGGTGACGCCGCAATTCTCATTGTGATCAAAATTGAATACATATTTGTTTTCACGCAAAGGGGATTAGATTGCATGATTTTGTAGCAAAAATGATAGAACTACATACAAATCCAACATTGCTTCGGGGAAAGGGAGGGATTCGAATTTAGAAGGGCAAGGTGGCGTTAACTCAGTTCAGTTCATTTCATTTTTAAAAATCCATACATACAAATCTTTTAAAATACAGCAACAGGTTACAAAAAATGAAATGAATTATATCTAATGAGAGAAATAGAGAACAAAAAAATATATATATGATTTTATAAAAACGAAGGAGATTTGCATCCAGAAATTTCTTAAAGGAGGAGCTCTCTCAATAGATAGACTAATCGAGGAGAGAGCACGTCCTGTGGTAAAAATAGTAAGGTAGTAAGGTAAAGTAAGGTAAAGTAGAGAAATGCAAAAATTGCATCTTGTCGCAACATTTTTGTCCAAGATTGTAGTTTCAGTTGCAAGATATTCGCTTCTCTTGCAGTAGAAAACACATACAGTGATCGTAATATTGGGCTCCTAGATCTTCAATAGTATTTCAGTGCACATTTTCCTACTTTTTTCTCTCTAATCAAAGCACAAGATTCAGTTTACACTTTCGAATTCAAGTGTCAGCGGGCCCATGCTCGAATGTATCATCCAAGAAGTTTATCGGACCGAATTGGTCAAACTATATAAGATCTTGTACCCTTGGTACCAAGTATATAACTATATATACCATCAAGATATAATAAGAGAACTCTTGGGTACCATTGAAGGAACGGACAGAGTTGGGCGTTGCTATGGAAGGGGTTGGTTCGAGGAATTTGGAGAAGAGGAGACGTGGGGTCCCTGAATAATATACGTTGGGGTTGGGCTTTGTTATAGAAGAGAAGGGTCGAATGGGATGACTAG